AATTATAATGAAAGTTCGATAGAAAAAAATGAAAAGTGAATTGAAAGGGAAGAAAAAAAGAAAGAAGACAAAAGAAAATGGAAAAAGAAAGAGAATTACCGTGCCGTTGATTATTTCCTCGCGCAAAGTGGACAGTTATTACGATTCAGAATTGAAGGCGGTACTCTCGAATCGTCTTTGTTAGTAATTTTAATTGAGACGTTTGAAAAATACGCTAATTGCGTTATACGTATGCATGTAAACTTGGAAAATAAAAGCTTCCTCTCGTAAGTATAACAACGTTGAAACGTTACGAGACTAAAATAGTCGCAAATGCTTCTCTGATCAAAGATCCGTAAGACGTGAAAGCATAAAAGCATAACTGGATCGTATTAAAAGCAGCAAAAGCTGTATTTCGCTGCATCCCTTTATTTTCTTCACGTTAATGCAATATATTCTTCAACCGAACAAACTATTTATCTTCGACGTAATCCTATAAACATATATCTAATATACATAAATAATACAATATGTAATATCTAAATATAATGAATGTATACGAAAACGAGTACAAAGTTTCTAAAATAAATTAAAAGTTCTTAAATGAATTGTGTGAATAAAAAAAAAAAAAAAAGAAAGAAAAAAAAGTTTGGTTCCTAGGGTTGTACCTTTATAATAATAAAAGAAAATCATGTTAACCTTAAAAGCTTCGAATAGATAGTAAATTGATTTTAAAAATTAACTAAAAACTTTAGTCTCTCTACCGTACATGTTATATGCATTCGCGTACTCGTATCTATAATCTACTATCGTAAAAAAATTAAATATAAAATGTAAAACGTGATAAAAAGGAAGCAATTATTCTTTTCTTTTTTTCTTTTTTTTTTGTTTCAATTTAACATCAAAAGCTACATTAAAATTAACGTGAGATTAAAAAAGATCTATACTATGTATTGATCAAAATCTCAATGTAAAAAACAAAGTATTCCTTGTATAATATATTTTCAATAATTTCAAGTTCACGTTATTAAATATCATTAATATTATTAATGGCAAAAGAGTAGGTTACTTGTTAATAATTGTTAAATCAAATTACCAATTAAAATATATATTATCTCATTGTGAATTGAATCTATTAATTAACTATCTATTATTAAATTTCAAAGAAATATATATCAACCTGTCGACCTTTGAAACGTTAAACAAAAGAGAAATAAAATAATTGGAAAGACACTGTGTCTAATTTCTTCAGAAACTAAGTAACTAATTATTTAACACGATGTGATACCTTCGAAATAAATCGTATTTCGAAAAGAGAAACTTTCCATTGTCTTTCTTAAGGGAACCATAAACCCCGCGAACTTAGGTACACCTGTTTTTCTTTGTTACTCGTAATTAGTAAACGTACTATTGTACTACTTTCTGTCATTCTATTTACCTATTTATCTATGTATCATTTTCAATCAATTCTCTCATTTTCTCTCTTTTTGTTTTTCATCATTATATCTCATTCTTTCTTTCTTTCTTTCTTTCTTTCTTTCTTCTTCTTATTTTCTCTTAACGAAACTTATGAATTTCACGAGTACAAAAGCTTTTACTACGAAATTACTTATTTCCCCATACCAACCACCGTTAATGAAAAAAGTGACAATGCAATGTATTTAAATTTGAAAATAAAAAAGAAGGTAAAGAAAGAAAAAAATATCGAGACTCCCATACGTTGTATAATCGTACAGACATAATATCATTTCGTGATTAACATTTGTCTGGAGAAATGAATTGAGATGGGGGAACAAAAAATTAGGATGTAATGTGAAAATTTAATATTCACCTATCATTTTTATCTCTAACCGAGAGAAAAGAAAAATAGAAAAGGAAAAGAGTGAAAGAGAAATACTTCAACCCGAGAGTAGCAATAAATTGGAAAACCCAATTTTTATATATATGTGTGCATGCTTATATATGTATATGTAGGTAATATATGTTTAAGATCTGTATATACGTATATGTTATATAATATAAAAGGATCTGCTTTTGCGATAGATAGGAAGTGTCGTCCATTTCTCGGGGAACCATGATTCGATTACCTCACGTGTAGTGTACTCGTAAAATCGATTTTTCAAATCGTAGTCAAAGTTCAGAAACTTTTTCTCTTCCAAATCAAAAAGAACAAAATCTATCTATCCTTACGTATAAATAGAAAGAAATTTATCATACGATTTATTTAATATTACAATGTTTTATATTATAAAATAATAAGATAGTAAAACAAATTATTTATTATATTATATATTACGATATATAAATATATCAAGAATACATTGAAACTTTTTCTATTTGGCGACTACCTTTTTACTATAAGCAAATATTTTCACGAACTTTTCGGTTTCGAGGTAATCAAATTTATCAAGAATATTTATTCGTAAACAATTGTTCATAACAAATATATAATTTTACCGTGTATTATAAAAACAAAGCCAAATATAAATATAATACGTACTTGTTTTGTGTTCAAATTTTCTCGATCTACAAATTCCGTTTACGCGACCCCATATGAGGAAATCTTTTTGTGATATATTATATATAATTTGATAAATATATACGTATAAATATCATATTAATCGTATGAATTTCAATAGTTTAGAAATGATTTGTGTTGAAACTTTTAGAAACAAATATGTGCATATTAATCGAGAAGTAATATTCTTATAACAATTATTCATTATTATTTCGTATTATAAATTGCTTATGAAGATCGATATCACAAGTAAATATATATATTTATTATACACATACACCAAATTCAAATGGGAGAAGTATTTACATGTCATATATATACAATATTATTAATAAACGACGAATAATATTCTTTTTTAAAATATCATTCGTATAACAAATATTGTTATTACGTTCGATTATTATTATTATTATTATTATTATGATTTGGAATATTCGTGGGATATAAAACAATACATTTCAATGGAACGTAGAATACAATTGAGATTCTTGTTTAACGATCCTATTACGAAAATTTCATACGATCATTTCAATTCTCTTTCTCTCTCTCTCTCTCTCTCTCTCTCTCTCTCTCTCTCTCTCTCTCTCTCTCTCTTTCTTTTTCTTTTTCAAAACCGATAAATATTCCAAAGCATCCGGCAACAGAACTTTTTCTTTCCTCCAAATCTATAAGAATTTTTAAAAGGGATTCTCGAGATAAGGAGCGTACAATTTTCCTTCTTGGCACAAAAACGATTCACTGGGCTCTCTTCTCTTCTTTCCTACTTCTCTTCCCCCCTTCATATTTTTGTCTTTATTCCTTTCTGTAATTTCTATAGACAAACGTATTGAGAATAAATTCGATATTTTGTATATCCATTAGAGGAGAATAAAGTTATCAAAATGAATACTTATTTCATTGCCCATTCCTATTTTTCATTCGCGAAAGGACCACTCTCTTTTTCTTATTTTCTTTTTACTTATTTATCCTTTCGATTATATTTGATTGAATAACTTGCAAATTTATATATATTGTTTGATAAGAACAGCTGTTATATCGATTTGAATTTTAAGTTATATTATTTTTTCTTGTCTAACACCGAAATCAACAAACAAATACAAATATGAAATCCAAGATTTAAAGGCATATTTTCATTAATCACATTTTAAAACTATACAATACTATTCGGTGCAAAATATATTCAAATAATTACACGATAGATGTTTGACCGTTTGAAATGATTTTCAAAATTACGATGCCACACTTTGTATTTGCGATAATTTTACAAAAATTATTAAATTATATTGACAAAAATACGGATAGATAAAAGAAAATAAAGACAGCTGCATAAATTTCGTTGAAAATTAATTTAGTCAAAAAGAATGAATCGAATAGTAAATGAGATTAAAAGTAGATTTGAAATGAGATAATAAATAGCAAGTTATGATAAAGCTACGATTTTCGACGAATTGTCTCTAAATAAACGATTACGTATTCAGCGATGTTGAAAGATCGGAAGGCCGCCGTTAAACGCATAATTTATTTGTAAAATAACGATTACGATTCTCTCATACACGAACGCATGTACGCACGCGTGTACGCAAGCATGCACACGAGGAATATGCACGCAAGCATATATATATATATATATACATATACGCATACACATATATGCATATTCACATGCATAAACTCAAAATACGATACGATATAATAGTTTTATCGCGAATTATCCATGCATCGGCGCGAAAATTCAATCGATTTTCGAGCTACGAACGACTATGGTTGAAACAGAGTAGGTTGGTTGTTTCGATTAAAATGATCAAATTTGTGATATTACGTTAAAGAGAATTATAGTCCTGTCTCTATTTATATACTTTTTGTCTCTTCTTTTTTTTCTTTTATTTCCTTTTTTTTTTTTTTTTTWTTTCCCTTTTTGGTATCATTTTCTCGATGGTAAACGTTTTAATAAAATATTTCAAAATTAAAACTAACGCGAATGTATTTATGTGTCGTCAAAATGATAACAAAATATAATATAATAAACAGGATTAAAACACAAAGAGGATATTAAATTATTATATATCGAATCATAAATAAAAAATAACGTTAGAATTGTTACGCGAGAAACGTAAAGTTTTTACGTTAACGAATAAATAGCCTTAACTTTCTTTTCTCACACATTCGTACTCTTCAATTATTTAATAAGAAGAAAAAAAAAAAAAAAAAAAAAAACAGGGAAAAAAGTTTCGCATAAACGGGAAATAAAAAATAAGATGAAGAAAGAAGAAAAAAGACAAACAGAAATAATATATTAAGCCGATCGAAAATGTTAACGATAAGAAACGATATAAAAGCTGACTGATGGAGAATTCGGTATGTGAATTACACGTGTTATTACAGATCCTAAAGCTATATCGTGGATGGAAATACGTTTGAGCGTTATCTGGAGGCTTCTAAATCAGAATTATCGGTGTTAGAGTGTCAGTGTGAATCGACGAAAGTTTCGTGTCTATGAACTAACCTGTTCGTTCTATGATCCTCTTCTATATATATATATATATATATGTGTATATATATATATATATATATCTTTCTCTCTCTTTTCGTTTATGTCTCTTTCCAACACACTTAATCGTACTTCTCGATATTTCTGTCCTCTTATATCTTCCTTATTCTTGCCTCGTGCACAAATGATCGCGAATTTCTTCCAAAAACATATATATAGAAATCGTTTTCTTCTTTCTTCTATTTCTTCTCACGTTGAACGATGACGATGATGATAATAATATTATTAATATATTGTTTATATATCTCAATTTCTTTTCTTTTACTTTTTAAGATTTTATTTCTTATTTCTCTTATTAATCGGAGATCACACCACGCGAACACTATATTTTTAATAGTTTTCACACGTCGATGTTATTTTAACCGGCACTCTCTGTCTCTCTCTTTCTCTCTCTCTCTACGTTCATCACTAGATACTCTAAAGTTCACCACTTGTTTTATTATTATATTTTATTTCAATATTTTTTTTTTCTTTTCCCCCCCTCGAAAAACGACAAATTATTTTTTTATTCGTAAATAACACCTAGGTCTTCTATCACAATCCGAAATGAGAAGACCTAAAATCAATCATACTCGCGATAATTATTTGATCCGTTCGTATATATTTATATAAACAAAAATACAAATTAATTGTTATAAATTATCACACATGGAAAAGAACAATCGATGAAAATATCATTACGTATCAACCGATATTATCAAAAGAAAATATCAAATGAATAAATATATACTATGATCTTTTATCTAAACAATATATATATCTCGTTCTAAAATTAAATAATATAATATTTAATTAATTATATTTCTTGTTTTTTTAAAATTTGTCTATCTCTCTCTCTGTTTTTTTTTTTTTTTATTTAAATGATATAATCTAACAATCGATATATTAAACAATTTATCTCTCTCTCTCTCTCTCTCTCTCTCACTTTTTCTTTTTTGTATATGCAAGAAAGAGACAGTTAACGTACAAGTCATAACGATACTGGAACAAACAGATGTTCGAAACTAAACGTACGTGACATGGCTTGCAACGATCTAACACGAACAAAGTCCCTCTTATATCCGATGTCTACGCTATAAAGGAACCTCCATCTAGATGATCGTAGAATAGAAGGAGAAAACTCGCACCTGCTGTCGATACCCTATTCACTCCTCGTTCCACGTTTGAAATAAACACTTCCAAAGGGATGGGTTGGCTAGCTCTGCCTTTGGATGAACGAATTTGAAAAAACGGGATAAAAGAAATAAAAAAAAATAAAAGAAACGGAATTGCTAAAATACAAAAAAAAAAAAGAGAAGAAGAAGAAATAGGACACATTGAATGTGTGTGTGTGTGTGAGAGAGAAAGGGAGAGAAATAAATGGGAACATAGAGAAGGTAAAAGAAATCGAAATGAAAACTCGCCGAAAAGAGAATCAACGTAATTTGCTTGAAAAAAAAAAAACACAAAATACTACCTGCAATTAACTTTAAATGGAAAACTTTCAAAAGAACAACCCTTCAAATGGGTGGCACGCCTCGACACTTTTGTTATTTACCGATGGAAATAATAGAAAAAAAAAAAATAAAAGAAAAATGAACAAGAAAATCTAAACGCGTTATACACACGTTATATAACTATGGGGACGAAATAAGTTTATATAATATATATATATATACACATTTTTTCTTTTCTCTTTTTTTTCCTAAACGTGTCGCAATTACCAACGATAAATTTAAAAATATAGCGTCTAATATAACATTCAATTTGGATGTTTTAAAAAAGGGGGAACGATAATTAATGACGTATACTTGTGACGTTTAATAAAAGAACGAAGAAGAAAAGAAATATTGTGATATGTGAAGGAGAAAAAAAAATTAAAAAGTAATATATATATATATATATATAAAAGAGACAATTTTTTAACAACGATTTAATCATATACAAATATCAACGACAAAAAAAATACTCAAGTTATCGTCTGGTTTTAGTATAGTTCTCTCTCTCTCTCTCTCTCTCTCTCTTTCACTCTTTCACTCTTGGTGTCCCTTTCCTACTCTCACAGTCTATAAATCACAAGGGTCGCGACATCCTCCTATTATCCTCTCTCAATCTCTATTCTCGGTCTCAGTCACTCTCGAGATACTTTTTGCATCTTCCTATTTCTCATATCTCGAGAGAAAAGAAAAAGGGGTGGAGGACGGTGAGGGTGGGAGGCGGATGAAGAGGTGGTGGGGAGTGGGGAGGGGGAGGGATAAGGGGGTAGTTGCGTAGCCAAAATCGCGACGGCGTGGCTTTGGGGCGTGCCCCAGTTTTCCACTGACCGCGGTTAACTTTATAATCCGTTGCTAACAACTTTGCCATCGGTAAACCATCCTAAGTAGTCATGACACATACACGAAAGGGGAAAGAGATCAAAAGAGATGGATAGATAGATAGATAGATAGATAGATAAAGAGAGAGAAAGAGAGAGAGAGAGAGAGAGAGAGAGAGAAAGTAAACTCGTAACTGTATAATAAACCATACGAATAAATTTACTTATATTTGAAAAATCAAATTATGAAAAGTAGAAAACGAATCGGGAAGATAAAGGGAGAGAAAATATGTGATATTAGAAAGATATTAGAATGAAAAGGGAAAAGAATTAAAATACGGGATGGGTAGAAAAGAGATAATGAAAACCAGTAAAGAGATAGAGAGAGAGAGAGAGAGAATGTGATATTATATATATAGAAATATATTAGAAAGAGAATTAAATTTTGTGCGAGGAAAGAATGATGAAAAGTGGAAGAAAGAGAGAGAGAGAGAGAGAGAAAGAGAAGAGATGTGATATTAGAAAGATATTAGAAAGAAATCGCAAATAAAATTTTCACGAAGAATAAGCGAAAAAAAAAATGTTGAATGGAGAGAAGAAAATATAGTATCGAAAAGATATTATAGGGTTGAATTAAATTTGGATGGAGAGTAGAATTGACGAAAAGTAAAATGAAGAAAGAGAAAGAAAGAGAGATAGAAAAAAAAAAAATATATATATATATAGAATACGATTATTAGATGAGAATATTAGAAAAAGATTGCAAATGACAACGAGCAACACTCTTTAGGAAATCGAAAATCCTCTTTTCTGAAAAATTGGACGAATATATACTGTCGTCGTGTCTCAGGGGGATAGAAGCTAATGAACGAACTTTTTCAAGCCGATCTAACGGGAACAAAATTGCCGGAGTAACTTTTATCGCTTTTGAAAGTTTAACCTTTATTCTATTTTTTTTTTTTTTTTTTTTTTCTTTTTTTATTTGTTTTTGTTCATCAGTCCTTTTTTATATGTATAATATAAGATACATACATAAGTACGCACGTACACGCACACACAAATGTACATATATACCTATATATATATATGTGTAGAAAGAAAATAGGTATATAAAAATGTGTGCACATGTATGTGTAAATATAAAGTCAGTATACAAAGAAAAGCGTATCACTTTTTAAAAGTTGAAAATTAATAGAACAAGTAGAATATAAATTTTCTATCTCTTTATCCGTTTCTTATAAATAATTTAAATACAAATTGAAAATTGCACGACGATCACGTATGATGACTATGACTATGACTATGACGATGACGACGACGAACAACAAATTTCTTCCTTTCTTTCTTTATTTACATTGCAAAAGAAAAAATGTACTAACGCAAAAATAATGTTAACACGAGAGACACATCGATTATAGAAAAATCACTTTTAATAAAAACTACTTTTCCTCTCTCTCTCTCTCTCTCTCTCTCTCGATCTTATCTCAAATGACAAAGAATCAAACGAATAAAGAACAAACAAAAACAAAGTATCAAATGATAAAAATATATATATATAGAAAAGGAAGGGAGGCAAAAAAAAAAAAGAATAAACTTTCCTAGGAACGAGAAAAAGAAGAAAAAGGAAAAAAAGAAATTCAAACAAAATAATAATGCGTTAAATAATGTCGTTCTTCACCTAGCTATAATAATAAAAAAAAAAACAAAAACACAAATGGGACAATAAATCCGTAATTCATTAAATATTTATGCACGACAATGATAACAACAACAACAACAACGATGATGACGATGATGATGACAACGATAATATTAATAAATAAATCAATCAATAAATAAATAAATAAATAAAATATATATTTTTTGATCTCAGTAAAACGATTGTGCGAAAATACGAAGACGCACGCGGTGTCTCGCGAACTTTTCCGCGGACCTTACGTAGGGTTTTAGGTGTCGTGAACCGGCGGCGGTTGTTCGTTAGAACTTCGCCAATGGACTGCCGTGTGCCGCGGCAAAATCCACGGCGCAACACACCGACGCATCTACCCCCTAAGACTACCTTTTTCCTATCCCCCTTCTCCTCCTACACCTCTACCACCACCTCCTACCACCACCTTCCTATTCCTCCTCCTCATCCTTCTGGTACCACCAACGGGTACCCCAACCTCCACCCCCACCCCCACCCCACACCCTCTTTGTCGCACCGATACTGTCCTCTCTTTCTCTCTTTTTTTTTTCGTTGCTTTACAGTACGAGAGAGAGAGAGAGAGAGAGGATAAAAGTAGAGCAGTAGGACTGTCTTCGAGTAACTCGAAAAAAATCAACCCTTTTATTTATTTATAAAATCGATATGTTTAATGATTTAAATCTTTTTTTTTTTCTTTTTTTTTGGATTACTCCACGCAACAAGATCAAACTCTATTTCGTAGTTTTTCTATATTGTTTCTTATGTTGATTAAATTATCAAACAGCATGAACGACTAACGTATACAAACAAACTGGTGTGTGTATTTATGTACGCACGTAAGAAGTTATACTTCTTTAGCGTACCAAAACGAATATAACCTGAATAACCTGAAAAATAACTTCAATTTGCCCGCGCATCGTAAATATCGACAACTTCGTGGTGTGTTGATTTTTCGGTCGCATTTAACTTAACTTTTCAAAACGCGCCAAAAGAAGTATAACTTCAAACAAACATGGAAAATAATTATTGTACATTTAAATGAACTTCACACATTAACGATAAGTACTTACTAAAAAAGAAAAAAAAAAGAAAAGACTGAAACGATATTTTTTCAACTACGTAGTAAAGTTGTTCGCACGAGAACAATTCGAAAATTGAATAATAAATTTTCATTTAAGTTCCATCGAGAAGTATACGCAAAGTCAAAAATAAAACCGTGCTCCAACGATTGAATAGAAA